TTGTTTACGTTTAGGCTTGAATGCTTGGATTAAATTGATTTTACGTTAAAAGTCGACCATACATAGGCGATAAAGTCGTTAAGTAGACGATGTTTTCTTATATTGTTTTCTGCATTTTGTTCTGCGAATGCATCGTTAAAATTATTCTACGGCCTACGTTTAAATAACGAGATCTTATGTGAAATCAGAGATTATATAAGAATGTAAGCAAAAAGGCCAAGATTACCTTCTTTATTACCACAGAAAGACACTTATATTTTTCTTTCATTTATTTCTGTGACAGACGGTATTGAACTATTTAGATTTGTCAATAGACGGTTTTGTGAATTATGTTAAAGATTTGAATTATTTGAAAAAAAAAATCAATAAAAAATAATTTAAACAATTAATAATAATTGACTAGACAATATTTTTTTATTTTTATCCAGGTATGCAGAAGAAATTTTAGTGTCAGCCATGGAGGGAAGAATGATGTCAAAAAGCACGCAACAACAGCAATGCACAAGTCCAATGAAAAGGCAGAGAATACCTCCAAAAGTTTGCCATCCTTCTTCACAAAACAGACTGATGATCAAGCTGTTATCACTGCTGAATGCCTCTTTGCCAACTTCATCTGTGAACACAACCTGTCCTTCAACACCGCTGACCACTTCACAAAGCTATGTAAGCAGATGTTTCCAGACAGTAAAATTGCACAGAAGTTTCATTGTGGAAGGACCAAGACAACACAGATCATCAAGAGGTCACTTGCCCCGGTCTTGAAAGAAGAGGTTGTGGAGCACTGCCAGAGCCATCCATTTTCACTGAGCTGTGATGAAAGCAATGACCACAACGGTGAGAAGAGTTTAGCCATTCTTGTGCGATACTTCGACAAACTTGCCACAACAAAGTTTCTTGCCCTGCCGATATGTAACATTGGAACTGGACAGAACATCTTTCATCACCTCAATCAGGTCCTGACGGATTACGACATACCATGGAGAAACTGCATCAGCTTCATGTCAGACAACTGCAGTGTGATGACAGGACGTCATAACTCCGTCATCAGTCGCATTCGGGAGGTGCAACCAGATATATTTGACTTGGGGTGTGTGTGCCATTTGGCCAATTTGTGTACTGTGGCAGCTGTTAAAACCATACCATTGCCTGTTGAGGACCTTCTGATCGACATCTTCTACCACTTCACCACAAAGGGACCTAGTACCACCAACCATCTAGAAGCCTGGCATGGGAAGCTGAAGAAGAAGGTACACCACTCACACCCCATTATCAAAGTGTTCCAGGACATTCAAGCCGCCAACGAAATCAACAGGATACAGCGTGATGTAGGAGGAGCAACAAGACCACGCGCGAAGAGATATCGAAGCATCGACAACAGACTGGCCCAATTTAAGGAGCGATTCCAGACTCAGAGGATCAACATTATGGAGTACGCCGACGCAGCATCACCAATTATACACCTGGGATGAATTCCTCAGTTTTATAATGTGCAATGTGCTGGACTGATAATAATGTGTAATGTGCTGGACTTTCAAACGTCCTTTAGAATACTATGTTTTATTTTATTTATATGTATGTAATGTTTAATGATAAACTTTCTGCTTTTGCTATCTAATATAATGTGTGTAATAAAATAAATGAAACAAAATAAAATAAAATGTAATGAAAAGTACTTAGTGTAGACTACAGGTAGAATCTCAGGTAATAGCTCACACAGGTAAAATGAACTCAGGTGAAATCTATAGTTAATCTGAAACTGACTATAATTGGTTTTCTATTGTCTTCCTAAAACAACTACTTTCTTTGTTAAAAAAGTGGGCAAATCCCGAATTTGCCTATGTTTTAGCTGATTATGATGGATGATGAGAAGGTTCCATTTTGTTATAGTATTTATGGAAAGAAACCGGTCAATGTTGTGCCAGAGGTCATGTCCATGTTGTGTTCATTGGTCTGCAAGGATGAGAATGTTAACTTTCTGTTCACTGTCACATGCGGATGTGTGAATCTGACAGAAGAGTATGAGACGTGCTCTTGAAGTGGATGCAATGTACTGTATGCATTACTGTTGTGCAACCTTAACATTATGTAACTCTCCTATGTGGAGTCAATAAAGTTTACTCTTCCTGCCGACATGTTTGGAGTCCGGTGTGGTTATTGCATGGTGTCAGAAGATCCACCATCATCGGCAAAGATAGACATGATATAGTCATCATATTAAGTCCTAATTACAGCTGAAACACTGATTCTCCTTTACACATCAGCGTTTAAGGAAGAATGGCAGGGAAAGGCATTTAAAACTTACCCGATTTCAACCCATCAGAAGCAGGAGCGCCGGAGTGGGAACTCTACAAGCGTGATTTTCTAATACATCTAGACGCTTTAGGACTTGATGATAAACCCGGCAGACGAAAGGTTGGTGTTTTGTTATCAAACATGGGCAGAGACTCAGTGAAAATATATGATTCATTTGTTTGGGCACCGGAAGTCCAACCTAACGAGGATGCTGGTATTCAGGCACGTGCTGCTGAAGATAAACATGACTTGAACACTGTATTCAGAAAGTTTGATCAGCATTTTGGTGTTCACACATACAGAAATATTAAAAGGCAAGAATTTCTAAACACCAAGCGAGAGGCAAAATCGATCATGGACTTTATTTCGACGTTGAAACGCACGGCCGAACATTGTCAGTATGGCGAACAGACTGAGGGGCTGATATGCGACATGGTTATCAATGGCGTAAACGACAGGAAATGTTCAGAGAAACTTATGGAAATTCCCGTCGCAGATTTAACACTTGACAAAGTAATTCAAACATGCCGCCAAGTTGAGTTAACTGCAGCACATCTGAAGAATCTTGGGGCTGAAAATCCAAATGTAAACATGGTACACAGAAGTCGGGGACGTGGTTCGACTAGGCATAAGAGAGATAGCGAAAGGAGCTACAAGGGAGACCACCCATATTGTAAAAGCTGTTGTAGACATCATGAATATAAACAATGCCCTGCGTATAATAAATACTGTGACAACTGCGGTCAAAAGGGTCATTTCAAGGCATCCAGTGTTTGTAACCAGAAGTTTGACCGCGGTCGGACAAACCGTAGACCATACAGAGGTGCGGGTAGAGGACACGGGGGCACTGGTAGAGGACACGACAGAGGAAGTGGTAACAAAAAGGTACATTATACCGAAAACCAGGATGCCAGTCAGGACAATATCAGTGAAATATTTGATCAGTGTACTGTGCAAGATGTTTTCAAAACTGACGTGTTTAACATCAAACATCACAGCGACAATGACTGGAAAGCACATCTCGATGTTAATAGTCAAACATTAACAGTTGAAATCGACAGCGGAGCGCGATGTAATGTTTTGTCAAAGGACTCTGCGAGCAAATTTCTGTCAGATTCCCAGATCGAGGAGAGCGATGTAATTATAAATGGCGTTAGCGGCAGACCGTTGAAAGCGTGCGGAATGGTAACCCTCCCATGCGCGTACAAATCAGTCAAGCGACTGGTCGAGTTTCAAATTTTGGACACTGTGACCAAAGTAAATCTACTAGGTAGAGAGGATTGTGTTCAGTTTGGACTCATAGCCAGGGTAAACGAAGTAGAGCTAACTATGGAAGGGATACTCCGTAGCTACGATGACGTCGTAGGTGACCAGATTGGGTGCATGCCGGGCGAGTACGAAATAAAGATAGACAAGAGTATTACACCGGTTATTCATGCGCCGAGACCAGTACCTGTTACCCTTCGCGAGCAAGTAAAGGCAGAGCTAGACAATCTGCAGAAATGTGGTATCATCTCTCCCGTGGAACATCCAACTGAATGGGTAAATAGCATGGTGTGCGTGAGGAAGAAAAACGGAAGAGTCAGAATATGCATTGACCCAGGAGACCTTAATAAGGCCATACTCCGTGAACACTATCCAATGAACAGTATTGATGATATTGTAACTCGCGTACACGGCAGCAAATACTTCTCAACCCTTGACGCTAACATGGGATACTATCAGATAAAGTTGTCAGAACAAAGTTAATTTCTAACCACATTCAACACGCCGTTTGGGCATTACCGGTACCTACGTTTACCTATGGGTCTGAAATGTGCTGGAGAAGTTTTCCAACGCGAAATGATTACACAGTTTGGCAACCTGGATGGTGTTGAGGTAGTGGTGGACGATGTGCTGGTACACGGTAAGACAATTGAAGAGCACAATGCCCGTTTAGAGAAAGTCTTGAGCAAGGCTAGGTCCGCCAACCTCAAACTAAACAAAGACAAGTGTATATTGGCTAAACCAGAAGTCGATTATGTGGGTCACAGACTAACTGGAGACGGAGTCAAACCAACTCAGAAGAGAGTTGGGGCGATCATGCGTATGAGAGACCCGGAGAACCACAATGAGTTGGAAACAATTCTTGGAATGTTGGCATATGTATCAAAATTTATACCAAATTTGAGTGAGCTCAATGCGCCACTTCGTGAGCTGAAACAAGCCAAAGAGTGGGAATGGACGGACCAAGCGAAGGAAGCGTTCCAGAACATAAAGAACACGCTAACTTCAACAAAGGTATTGAGGTACTATGATGTACACAAACCGGTAAGAGTGACTGTAGACGCGTCTATGAAAGGATTGGGCGCAGCGATCATTCAAGAGGATGGAGTTGTGGCATACGCATCAAGAGCCCTCACACCAGCTGAACAGCGTTACGCGCAAATTGAGAAAGAGATGCTAGCGGTAGTTTTCGGTTGCGAACGGTTTCACAAACTGCTGTACGGAAAATCTGACGTTACCATTGAATCGGATCATAAGCCGCTTGAAACATTATGCGGAAACCGATACACAAGGCGCCGATGCGTTTGCAAAAGATGCTACTCAAATTACAGCCATATGAGTTTGAGTTGACATATGTTCAAGGAAAACACATAGGACTAGCTGACTGTCTCAGCAGACTACCGTTAGATGAGGTCGGTGAAAAGCCAATCGACGATGAAATGATGGTTCTGACTGTAGAGGCTCTATCGTGTGGTAACCATGACACGATTGCCAAGGCAACCCGAGAGGACAACCAGTTCAAGGTCCTCAAACAAGTCATATGCCAGGGTTGGCCACAGGATAAGGGAGATGTGCCTTTTGAAGCACTACCATTCTGGGACTATCGTGACGAACTTTCTACATACAACGGAGTTGTATATCGTGGGGAACGTGTGTGCATTCCTACTGACCTGAGGGCGGCAACCCTCAAAACAATTCATAGTTCACACTTGGGGATCGTCAAATGCAAACAGAGAGCCAGGGAATTAGTTTTTTGGCCTGGCATGAATAAGCAGATAGAGGACGTTGTAGGTAGATGCAGTGCATGTCTCACGTACAGGAACAAGATGCCCAGGGAACCGATGATAATCCACCCTGTGCCATCACTCCCATGGAGCAAGGTAGGGACCGATCTTTGCGAGCTCAATGGCAAAACCTACCTGGTGCTAGTTGACTATTATTCCAATTTCATTGAGGTAGCACCACTTAAAGATACTAGGACAAGTACAGTCATTAGACACATGAAGGAAAACATTGCCCGTTACGGAATCATGGACACTCTAGTCAGCGACAATGGTCCACAGTATTCGAGCGCAGAATTCAAGGCATTCACGTCTGTCTATGGAATCAACCACCTTATGTCATCTCCATTACATCAGCAGGCAAACGGATTGGCGGGGAAGGCAGTCCAAATGGTAAAAAACATCATAAAGAAATGCACAGAATGCGGGGATGACATATATTTGAGTTTGTTAGAACTACGTAACACACCGCGCGATGAGGAGACAGGTTCTCCAATGCAGAGACTGATGGGAAGACGAGGGAAGACTCTCTTACCTATTACACCGAATCTCCGGAAACCTCAAGTTTCTGACCCGAGTAAGGTGACATCAAAACTTGTGGCTCACCGCCAACAGCAGAAATATTATTATGACTGGAATACGAAGGACAGGAAAGAAATCGGACCTGGTGACGCGATTCGTATTCAAACCCCTTCAGGGTGGAAACCTGCCGAAGTTGTAGGGAAAGCAAGAACACCACGATCATATATCGTCAAAGCAGGCGACAGCGCGAGAGAATACAGGCGCAATACAGAACACCTCATGAGAACGCGTGAAGAACCGCACAAAATCGTCGCGAATGAACCAAAGGTCGCGCAGCCATACAGTTTAGTGCCAGGAAACCAAAACCCAAAGATACATGTAGCACCAGACGCGATCGGTTCAGGATACGCGCCGTGTAGTCCAAGAAGAGACAGTAGCACAAAATGTGTTAACCCTCCAAGGGATGTGCCAAAGGTCGCGAAAAACGAGATCCGAACGCGGTCGGGACGCGAGAGTAGGAAACCAAAATACCTTGATGACTTTGTAAGGATATAGACTCATTGAGTGTACTGCACGCGAGTGACTCATTGACATATTATCCATTAATAATAGTTTGTGTTGACAATTTGGTAGTTTAGCTTAATTTAGTTGTTTTATATATGACCAAGTCTAGTCAGTTATGTTTTATTTTGGTATAGTTGTGATAATTAAGCACTTAATTGACAGGTTGAGGTCATGGACAGGTTCAACTTCTGTAGGCATACAAAATGTACAGTGATTAGGGATATAAATGTGCTGATCATTTTTAATTCCTTATAGACCAGTATTGAACTATTTTTTTTGATGTAATGATTACAGCAATGTCTGATGTTAAAAAATATAACGAAAGAGGATGCAATGTACAATGCCGACATGTTTGGAGTCCGGTGTGGTTATTGCAGTGGATGGCTGAGGTTTGATGAAACAATGGCCCTAATAATTAGTCACCTGTTAAGACGTACATTGATATAAAAATACAACAGGACATTTTTTTTTTTTTTTTTTACTTTCTAAAAATGTTTAATTGTTTAAATACGCTTAATACTATAATATATACATTTTGTATCTATATATCCACTTTTTGTTAAAGAGATTTTGCTTTTAGATATAATATAGTGATTAATCTGTTTCTAGTGGATAATGTTATACATATTCATAGAAATTTCTCTGTTAAATTCCTAAACCGCACTAGTGCGTCATTGCTGTTTGCCATTTCCTCTATCAGTTATTGCTGCCTCAGGTATGTTTGTTCATCAATTCACAACGTAGAACGAAATGAATGAATTTCCCCCCGGGGCATCTCTAAATGAGTTGTTATAACTAGACTCGGGTCTTTTCAAACAACTTGATATCCGCTGGACAAGTCACAAAAGTAATGGCTAGTCTTTTATTTTCACATTTTCTAAGAACAGGAGGAAATACAACCAAAAAAAAATTGACCAATCATTGTGCAAGACACAATTGGGATGTTCACCTGAGCTTAGTGATTGCTCGTGTGTAAACTGGTGTGTGTGTGTGTGTTATAATTGGACCTGCCTACTTTCACGCATGTATGGATGAATAGACTGATAGAGGACATATTATCATTAAACCTATGTAAATACACTTCATTTCTCGAGCTATTACCACGTGGAGTAGCTGGACTCGCGGTAAATATTTGACTTGCACTGTAGGTTTGTGAGCTCAAACTATTCTTTAATATATAGGCGCTGTAATGCTTATGGTGGATTCCATTTACATCATTTCATGCCTAGAACAAGTTTTACTCAATATAGCCGGGAACTAAATATGTGTAACAGGATTTACAAGTGTCACCTGTAAAATTCATTCGTGGAATGACAGAAATATCTTCATTAACGTGGAACGGGAGGCGGTGTCAGACACTAGAATATATCCTACACAAATATAACGCACGTTATTTTGTTGTATATCGCGGAAATTAAGCAGTTGTACGCTACATATTTTAGAATCTTATTTTCGTAAAAGTGTTTTAGAGTTGCCGAGCTAACACTGTCACTGGTGTTATTGAAGTAAGAATATCTGCCGTTGTTGCAATCATTTAATTCAAATTGAGCAATCATTGCCCATCATGAGTGGAGATAGATGTTTTGCGTCCGTTTGTATCCTAGCAGTGTGTCTTCTCGTCAATGTCTGTCTGTCATCCGCGTTCAACCTGACGGTGTTGCACACAAATGATATACATGCACGTTATGAGGAAACCAATAAGTACAGTGGAAGTTGTTCTGATAACAATTGTTACGGAGGACTTGGCCGTCTGAAGACAAAGATTGAGGAGTTCCGAGCTGCTGTACCTAATACAATCTTACTGGATGGAGGAGATATGTATCAAGGTACCATCTGGTTCAACCAATTTGGCGGAGCACTCAGCGGCTTCTTTGCAAACTTTCTAGGCTATGATGCTATGGTAAGTATGAAATTTGTAGAATTGCATGTCAAATTACGTATTGTTATTATTATTATTATCATTATTATTATTATTACATTTTTAACAGCCCGTCAACACATAAAAGTTCATTAGGGCCATCAAACGGTAAAACACACAACGATCAAACTACCGTTATGAAAGTTCTGTAAGTTCAAATGCATTGTAAATATTCAAGTATCATCAAAAACATCATCTTTATTTGATTGTATAGAGTATAATACTGACAGTTTTATAAAGATTCATGCCGTTTCAACTTGGAATAAAAAAAACTTAATGATTGAACGAATCTTCTCGACATATACTTTTCAAATTGAATTTGACGTATACCAGTTATTGATGTTAAATATATTCTGGTGGATGTTGTGTTGAATGCCAATTGTTAGTTATAACGAACCTCCACACTCTCTACGAGAGATATTGTTTTGTTTTGCATTTGTTTTGTCACACGTCGAAGCTTGTTCTTCAAGAGTTAATTCATCCGATAGTACACTGGCACGGTTCCTTAGTATTACTGACGCAGTCCTATAAGGACAAAACAGCTGTATGATGTAGTTTGATCATTGGACTCTACGTCTCTACTCTCTTTAATCATCAATCTGTTTGTAGTGGTGTACTTTTTACGGAGTGTTCCCGGAACGCATACATGTCCATGGAAATGGGTAGAAACATCAAAGGGAGGGTAATTATAATCTGTTTCTTATAGGTACTGCATTTACCTGAGATATTTTACCTGTGGATCTACCTGTGATTTTTACAGATATTACAGATGTATCATTATAAATCAACAATTAATTATTGATATTTTGTCTCTTAATACTTCAGTATTGCAGTCAGAAAGTGCATGTATACATGCACATGTCCTTTTAAAAAGTGAATCAACTTCTTACTGTGTCAAATTGATAAATAATAAATCTACGCATAATCATTTACATAATCATGTAAAGGTCCGCATGATTACCTATTGGTCTAAATTGTTACAGGCACATGATTGCAAGTACTCTTCTATTTTATATACTGTTTTATATAAAAGTAACATTAGAAATGGTATAACTAGTCTGTGACTGTTATATATCAGAAAAATCTTGAATGAATGTGGTTTAAGCTATATATAGGATACGCAAAGCACTATAAATGTAAAGGTAGAATGGTTAATGTTGACTGTTAAACAGATTTTAAAAGACCAGTATATTCAAAAATGGAAAAGCGATTTTTACATGATTCGTATGGTTGAGTGCCTGATTCGTCCATCTACCATATATATGAGGTGGTATGATAACTGAATTTCTGTTGTTAATGATAAATAGTACCGGACGTCTGTGTATCAACAACATTGCCGTTTGTCTGGTTATGGGAGCACGTTACCCTTAACCTTAAACGAGATATAATCAACCAGTACTTAGCCATCGAGTATCCGGGATACCGCAAAATAGGTAAGTGCTATTTGTACCTAGTTAGTATAATGCCTTTTCCCCAAAATATCTGTTTACTGATTTCAGAAAACCTACTTTTTACGTTCAAGTATATCTCTCTTCAAACCGTCGTCTCTGATCACGATTCCGGATTGATATGCTAATGAACCAGCTTGTATTCGTGTTCTCAATTTTAACTGGAAGCAAACTTCAGGTAGGATTGTTATAGAATCCTATTGAACTGATCTGTGTTGACTCTGTGGGACGCATTGACCCGGTAATTCTCGAGGTGATGGTAAACGCGCAATGAATATCTTATCATGACAGACACATTGTTGTTGAGTTAAAAATGCTATTAAAAGTTTCATCCATCGTCCTTCATATGCCACCTCTTTCCTATACATGTGGGTGTTTATATTGCACATGCAGATATTGCCTTTTAAGAAATACATTTGCGGATTTTTAAACCTGTGATAAACAGTATCTACATTTATACCATGTTTACTTGTGTAAAATTATTTGTCGTTAACATATGCGTGGAATTATAATTGAAAAAAAACCATTACATATCATACCTTACCCAAGTGCTTCTGCTACATTCAAGATCAAAGAACTTAAAATTCCATGAAAATAAGATAAGTCTTTTAAGGAAGATACAGTTGTGGCAATATACTGCACATACGCACGATACAGTATCGTTCGGTGCGGTTTGGTGAAAACTTTGGTGCGTTCCCACAACGGTACTAACGAGAATATGGGTCTAATATTAAAGCAGGTTACAAGAAAATCATAAGTCCTATCTTACTATCAATATACACTAGAACATAGCTGTTTGAACAATACATATCTAAGTGAACGTTAGATAGTGATTGTTAATTCCATTCTGGTGAAAAAATTGACGATATTGGTAAAAACATTGACAGGGAAATACAAATTTAATCATCATACAAACTTTAACGATTTTACTTGCCGTATTTGTGTCAAACCCTTCATTTTGTTTTTCTATTTTTGTACTGTGTTCAGTTTGTTTTGTTTAAACTGGTGCCTATGTATCAACGTACCCGAAATCAGTTTTATAAGAAGGTCATTCAAAGTTTATGTACTTGTAATGGAATAAGACAGCTCTTTTTATTTAACTTTTGACCCACTTATTTATGACTGCAAGAGAGGGGAAACCGGCAATTTGTCTTTTCTATCGGTTAAAATTGGTATCGGTATTGTGCAGCATGTCACGGTGTACTTGTAAACATGACATATATAGACACCACACAATAATACCATTCTAAACGGTGGAATGGTATCAGATTGTCGAGAAATGGATAGCTATGGAATGCAAAACTCGTTGAACTGGATTTGTTTGCTTTTTTCTGACATAAGCTCGAAAATTATATCTCTATTAAGGGCGTTTAGTATGAAGAGATAAATTATACAGGGCGAATTTCAAGTAAAATGGAACAGAAATGTAATATTCGTTTACAGGTGTTATTACAAAAGTTGGTCCTTCCGATTACTATCGTACAAAGTATGATATTTCGTACGATGTTTATGTAATACCTTATCTGACATTGTGAAGACATTATTGAAGTTATCTGACGCTGTTAAAAGTATCTGACACTGTTGAAGGTATCTGACATTGTTGAAGTTATCTGACATTGTTGAAGGTATCTGACATTGTTGAAGTTATCTGACATTGTTGAAGGTATCTGGCATTGTTGAAAATATTGTTTAAGTTATTTGATATTGTCAAAGCTATCAGACATTGTTGAAGTTATCTGACATTGTTGAAGTTATCTGACATTGTTGAAGTTATCTGACACTGTTGAAGGTATCTGACATTGTTGACATTATCTTACACTGATGAACTTATCTGACATCGGGAAGACATTGTTTAAGATATCTGGCATTGCTGAAAACATTGTTGAAGTTATCTGGCATTGTTGAAGTTATCTGGTATTGTTAAAGGTATCTGGCATTGTTGAAAATATTGTTTAAGTTATTTGATATTGTCAAAGCTTTGTTGAAGGTATCTGACAAGGTTAAAGGTATCTTATCACTGTTGAAGGTATCTGACATTGTTGAAGGTGATTATCTGACATCGGGAAGACATTGTTTAAGATATCTGGCATTGCTGAAAACATTGTTGAAGTTATCTGACATTGTTGAAGGTATCTGGTATTGTTAAAGGTATCTGGCATTGTTGAAGGTATTTGACATCGTTGAAGCTATCTGACATTGTTGAAAATATTGTTTAAGTTATTTGATATTGTCAAAGCTATCAGGCATTGTTGAAGGTATTTGACATTGTTGAAGTTATCTGACATTGTTGAAGGTATCTGACAAGGTAAAGTTATCTGACATTGTTGAAGGTATTTGACATTGTTGAAGGTATTTGACATTGTTGAAGTTATCTGACATTGTTGAAGCTATCTGACATTGTTGAAGGTATCTGACATTGTTGAAGGTATTTGACATTGTTGAAGTTATCTGACACTGTTGAAGTTATCTGACACTGTTGAAGGTATCTGACACTGTTGAAGGTATCTGACATTGTTGAAGGTATCTGACACTGTTGAAGGTATCTGACATTGTTGAAGGTATCTGACATTGTTGAAGGTATTTGACATTGTTGAAGTTATCTGACATTGTTGAAGCTATCTGACATTGTTGAAGTTATCTGGCATTGTTGAAGGTATCTGGTATTGTTAAAGGTATCTGGCATTGTTGAAGTTTAAGTTATTTGATATTGTCATATCTGTTGAAGGTATCTGACATTGTTGAAGGTATCTGGCATTGTTGAAAATATTGTTTAAGTTATTTGATATTGTCAAAGCTATCTGACATTGTTGAAGGTATTTGACATTGTTGAAGTTATCTGACATTGTTGAAGGTATTTGACATCGTTGAAGGTATTTGACATTGTTGAAGTTATCTGACATTGTTGAAGGTATCTGACAAGGTAAAGATATCAGACATTGTTGAAGGTATTTGACATTGTTGAAGTTATCTGACATTGTTGAAGCTATCTGACATTGTTGAAGGTATCTGACATTGTTGAAGGTATTTGACATTGTTGAAGTTTTCTGACACTGTTGAAGTTATCTGACACTGTTGAAGGTATCTGACACTGTTGAAGGTATCTGACATTGTTGAAGGTATCTGACACTGTTGAAGGTATCTGACATTGTTGAAGGTATCTGACATTGTTGAAGGTATCTGACATTGTTGAAGGTATTTGACATTGTTGAAGTTATCTGACATTGTTGAAGCTATCTGACATTGTTGAAGTTATCTGGCATTGTTGAAGGTATTTGACATTGTTGAAGGTATCTGACATTGTTGAAGGTATCTGACATTGTTGAAGGTATCTGGTATTGTTAAAGGTATCTGGTATTGTTAAAGGTATCTGGCATTGTTGAAGTTTAAGTTATTTGATATTGTCAAAGCTATCTGACATTGTTGAAGGTATCTGGTATTGTTAAAGGTATCTGGCATTGTTGAAAATATTGTTTAAGTTATTTGATATTGTCAAAGCTATCTGACATTGTTAAAGGTATCTGGTATTGTTAAAGGTATCTAGCATTGTTGAAAATATTGTTTAAGTTATTTGATATTGTCAAAGCTATCTGACATTGTTAAAGGTATCTGGTATTGTTAAAGGTATCTGGCATTGTTGAAGGTATCTGGTATTGTTAAAGGTATCTAGCATTGTTGAAAATATTGTTTAAGTTATTTGATATTGTCAAAGCTATCTGACATTGTTGAAGGTATCTGACATTGTTGAAGGTATCTGACATTGTTGAAGTTATCTGGCATTGTTGAAGTTATCTGACATTGTTGGAGGTATTTGACACTGTTAAAGTTATCTGACATTGTTGAAGTTATCTGGCATTGTTGAAGTTATCAGACATTGTTGAAGGTATTTGACATTGTTGAAGGTATCTGACATTGTTGAAGGTATCTGGCATTGTTGAAAATATTGTTTAAGTTATTTGATATTGTCAAAGCTATCTGACATTGTTGAAGTTATCTGGCATTGTTGAAGTTATCTGACATTGTTGGAGGTATTTGACACTGTTAAAGTTATCTGACATTGTTGAAGTTATCTGGCATTGTTGAAGCTATCAGACATTGTTGAAGGTATTTGACATTGTTGAAGGTATCTGACATTGTTGAAGGTATCTGACATTGTTGAAGTTTAAGTTATTTGATATTGTCAAAGCTATCTGACATTGTTGAAGGTATTTGACATTGTTGAAGGTATTTGACATTGTTGAAGGTATCTGACATTGTTGAAGGTATCTGACATTGTTGAAGTTATCTGACATTGTTGAAGGTATCTGGCATTGTTGAAGGTATCTGACATTGTTGAAGTAATTTTTGTACGGTATTGGTGTAATATATATTGGCGTAAAGATAATCATATAAAAGAAAAAAAGAAAATTTTGAAAAACGTACGTAATCTGGAACTAGTTAAGATAACTTGTATTTAGTCATCTTATTATGTTACTTTAGTCATATGCCATTTCCTCCGGACTAATAAAACTGTTTCATTTCATTTAAGCATTTCGCTATGTCAATAAGAAAGTGTTTTGTCGAAGACTGTATAAAAGTTCCTTCTTTGAAGACCGGTATATTTACTACAGCAATTCAGTTTACCTTTAGACTCACCTTCAATATAGAGCACAAGCTGGTTGATCAGAACAAATCACCTTTCTATTTATCCCGTGCACAATATATTTGGCAATGTTCCTTTATTCTGATGTAACGACAATCAATCCTGCCGACTTGATACGAATTGTTTTGATCGTTGAAACGTTTCATACCGACGAAGATATATACTATGTCAAAAGCGCTTTATTGACAATGAATGTTTAAGGAGTGTTATTTTACTGCTCTAAAAGGAAAATTAGAACTCAGTTCTTTTAAAGACATCCATGATAGACAATTATTTTTTTCAATCTTTCGGTACAACATTTAGACTTTAACCTTTCGCAAATAGCAATTTTTGTATGACCTCCAAACAGATTATTGGTCGTTTCAAACTAGATATAATGATTTCACGTTTTTGCATAAATGTACGAGGTTGTATTTAGCATTGATGAAAATAAAAGGCAATCACACACAATAAATGCATACATTCGAGAAGAGTTATAAAGTATTCAAAACAAGTTTCTTCTCCTGTGAAAGATGTGTTTTGTTCAAGACGTGAAGCAACTTAGCTTCTGTGGAGAATAAGTTACCAATGAATGCTAACATCCACAGATATTCCTTAGATATCCAGATCAGTCTTGAATCTCTTTTTATACACTTTTGGAAGATAATAAAAACAGATACTATCGTGAAGTTTGAACACAACGACTCATAATTTTCGCACATGTTTGAATTCTTTGAATTGTATGTCGGTTTAAGGTTCAATGATAATTTATATACAATAATTTCTTGTGTTCATACAATCTTTTAAATATTTTACCTTTGTTGTCAAATAACTTTGTAACTTTTATATTGTTTGTTACGCAGTATCTACGGAGATCAAAACAGTTTTATCTCCGCTGCCCTGATTCTTCTTTAGTTAGCATCACATTACATTGATGTAATCTGGGTTTACATGGTTGTCGTGTACACAAGACAGAAAATATTAATGTTTCCTTGACATCTGATATGTTTCTTTTTATGAATCGGCGCTTGAATTTCTTTTAAATTTTCACATTTATCATTTGAAATGACGACTGAGGTTTCTCTTTCTCCTGATAGACAAGGTCAGTCATTGAGTTTAGAAGCGGCATTCCTCTCGCCTCACCAGTAACATTCGTATGCCAGATGTAAAAATAGGTCTTAGATATCTATTACAAATGGTGCACACATGTTGCATTTTAATCATCGGCAGTGGGTTTGCCTGTGGCGCACAGAAAATGAAATGATTTTGTAAAGATATATCGACTGATATACTTGTTCACATATATGTCAGTTTTAAAACCATATATGTCGGTTATAAAAAAAGTATTTATCGGTTTCAAAAATCATATTTATCGGTTTTAAAAATCGTATTTATCTGCTTTTAAGAAACATAAAATGTTGGTTTTCAAAAACTTATTTATCGGTTTTAAGAACGTATTTGTCGGTTTTAAAACAGTAAAAGCAAGGGTTAAGGTTGAATTGTTTGTATCGAAATGAAAAAAATTGGGTTCAACGGAGGAGGTATATGTCGAACACCTTCGACTTTAGATTTTTCAAGGCAGTATAAAAATAGAATAAAAATAACAAATAAGAAATAATGGCGGTAAACATTTGCAGACAATTTATTAGAGAGAAACAGGCATCTCAACAATGAGGGCTAATAACATCAGCACGGAGGCGGAAGAAAAGATACAAGAATGAATAAGGCCAGGTGTTCGAGAAGAGTAAGCGTCTGATGCTCAGATGCTGTAATGACAACATCCAAGTTTTTGTAAAATGAAGTGATGAATTCCTCCTCTATCGGAATATTTTCAGGCCCTCGGTAACCATGAGTTTGACCGGGGTATCTCTGGTCTTATCCCCTTCTTGGACAACACAACATTTCCTGTCCTTAGTAGTAACATAGAGGACTCTATGGAACCCTCCATTCAGGGAAAGTATGCTAAATCCACTGTGCTGTCTGTCGGCGGGAAACAAATCGGGGTCATTGGGTACACTACCAAGGACACAACAATTATTTCCAATCCAGGTAGTAAGATTTATACTAGATATTTATCAATCGAAATATTAAAGACAAAAAAACATATGGATTAGTATTGCTTTGCTGTTGCTGTAGGTATGTTCCATAGTCAATATACCGTACAAAATGTAGATAGAAATATTAACAAAATTTATTCAAATGCCAGAATATATATTGAAAGGTTATGGAGGTAGCTATGTATGCTCACTTGTGATACATTATTCTTGTGTATGATATTGTTTTATGATATGTTTACGAAGTACAACTTTAGTTCAAATTATGGAGGACACGAAATGTATTTACGCTATCAATCATTGTCTATTTATGATATGCAGTTTAACACGAAGTCACATAAAGTACCCGATGTTATGATCTTGCATTACTGAAAAAACAACACGCAATTCTGTGTAGTTAAGCTGATATAGAGCACTATGTCAATATATCTTCGTCGGTGTGAAAAATTTCAAAGATCAAGAAAATTCGTGTCAAGTCGGCAGGATTTATTGTCGTTACATCAGAATTAAAAAAACATTGCCAAATATATTGTGCTTGGCATGATGACAATCGTGTAAAGTTTCATTATTCCTCATATGAAATAGAAACTCATTTAACATCCTTTATTTTTCAATAAGGGTCATTGACCTTCAATGATGAAATCACGTCAGTAAGGGCAGAGGTGACACGTCTCCAAGGTCAAGGTATTAACATCATCATCGCTGTTGGACACGCTGGATACGTAGTGGACAAACAGATGGCGACAGAAGTGGACGGACTGGACATCATAGTAGGAGGTCACAGCAACACTTTTCTGTATACGGGTAATGAAAACAAAACCTTTTTTTATACAGGTGCACCCATTAACGTCTTTCTCAATGCAGTTAAACACAACATCTTTCTGTAAACAGGTAAACCCAACAACTCACTATATACAGGAAATCACAACAACACCTTTGTGTGCAAGTTGACACATCAATCCTTTCTGCATAAAGCTAGACACGAAACACTTTTTTTAAAAGATAAACTAAATTTTTCTGTATACAGGTAAACACAACACTTTTCTGCATAGATAATCACAACAACCTCTTTCGGTATACAGTTAATCACAAAACACATTTCTGTATACAGGTAAACAGCAATCATTTTCGGTACAGATAAATACAACACCTTTCTTTAGAAAGTAAACGAAAAAAGACATTTTTGTATACAAGTAAACACAACACGATTTTGTTTACAAGTAAACACAACACCTTCCTGCGCAGGTAATCACAACGACCTCGTTTAGTATAGAGTTTATTACAAAACACGTTTTTGTATACAGGTAAACACAGCAATGCTTTTCTGTACAGATAAATATAACATCTTTCCTTAGAAACAAGCACAACAACACGTTTCTGTATAGTGGTAAACACAGCAATATCTGTCTTTACAAATAAACATAACATCTTTCTTTATACAGATAATCAAAAACACCTTTCTTTGTGAAAGCAAACAACACGTTTCTGTATACTGGTTATTTTAAAGCACCCTATAGTATACAGGTATTTCACTTTTACGTAATCTGAAACACATCAACTACTGATGCATTCTATCACATACAATGACCCTGGCTGACAACGAGCTGTGAAATCAATTCAAATCAAATCTTTGGTGGTCTTTCACAATACGAAGAATCACAGTAGCGGGAACATATAACGATTAGATTTAGAAAGCAATTTAACGGCATTGTGAAAAAAACTAACCGCCAATCAATGAGCTCTGTTATTAATCTAAAAATAATTTGCCCTATCAACCTTTAGATACACACATGTATATTTTAGGTGACGCCCCTTCTAACGAATTTCCTGTAGCTGCCTACCCTACCGTAATAACACAGACGAATGGAAACACCGTGCTGGTCGTTCAAGATTACGCCTACGGCAAATACCTTGGTGTTCTTAACGTCACTTTCGATGACCAAGGACAGATAACTCAGTATGCAGGGAATCCGGTTCTTCTGGATTCAAGTGTGCCTAAAGGTGGTTATTTTATCGAATGTTTATTTGCAATTTATTGCATGATTTACCGCAAATTGCTCCCATGTTCTTTCATCCTCGAATTGGTGGTGATAAAGCATAAAATATACACAGGTTGTTTAAAGATTTCAAACAATTCCCTTGACCGATTTGCAGGATGCAGATGTTGACATTGTGTTTTTGATACACGTGTTGATAGTTTTAAAAGTTTATAAAAAACAATACGTGCAATCTCTAATGGATGGCTTTTCGATTAGTTATCATATATACTGTTATACAAAACCTTCTTTTTCACAATTAATAACATAAACGTAAGTGTTTGAAAGAATTTTTTAAAAGATAAGACATTTATCCTGTAACTGGGGCTGCTATCATTGGGATACATCTGCCACATACATTTTCGCTGTGACGGAAAATCAATTTATTTTAATACATGCATTAAATCAACAGAATTCCCTTCTAAATTTACTTAAATCTAACGTTTAATAGTATAACTAATTGTTGAATCAAGTTATTGTATATACTGCATTGAACAGATATATTAACGAAAATTCATAAAATCGTTGCCATATTCATAGACGCTTGGAACTACATGTAAATTTCCGCGTAACGTCCACGTAAAGTAAACAAAGATTGAACAACAACGCTGTTGAAATTGTGGTAGACTGATATTTTTAATCGATGTTGAAGGATAAATAGAATACATGGTTGCTATCTTAAAATATATGCTTCATTTTGGCTCGGGATAGAAAGACAAAAGGGTCTCGCCAAAGGCACGTCACTTTTGTCTTCCTTCACCCTCGCCATAATACAGCTTATGTTTTAAGACACTGACCATGCATTCTCTATATCTTAAATCTGCAAAAAGGTTAGACTTGAAATTATAAAATTATATGCTTTAAAAGTGTTGATCTCAACTATTAAACAGGATATCTTTTTTTGGTTCAGATATGACTCTTGTAATATATTTTGATATAGATTCCCATATAATGTGCTCACACATACAAGGAATATTCATTTCATATATCTGATCGCTTGTGCCAGTATTGAGTCATAAATGTATGATACAACCACGAACGTAAAAGTGTTTTTCTTTGTCTTCATTTCCATATCAAGTTGATTATGTAGTCAGTTCAGCTTTCAGTCAACCAAACATCCATCAGATTGAAAACGCGGTAGTGGAAAAAACGGGAACGTTATGGCATAATTAAAAATATCATTGATTTAGAATACAAATATAGCAATACTCATTAACCTTCTAAGTGATTCCGTCGACAAAAGAAGATTACATTTTGTGCTTTGATTACCAGTAGACTCATAATTGTAATAGATGTATCTTATGTTTTCATTGTTCCCAGAAAATCATAAAAGACGACAAATACAATGTAATTACAAGTCGCCATTGAGCTTTCATTGATCGGTCATCAGGTCTGTAGAGGTCTGATGTAAGCTTTTTTGTCTGGGTCTATCATATATTGTTGTAATTATTTGTACGGGCCGATCAATGGCATGGTCCCGGCGTACCATCGCTTGTCGCTAATGTCAGGTTTGTCATGATGTTTGTACATCATGTCTCTTGGGGTTCGATGTAAATGAGAACATAGCATACAAAGTCAACACGAAATAGTTCACCATGAACAAGCACGTATTTTTTTAAAATTGAAAATCAGTTTCTGGATAATCACATAATTTTGTCTCCTTTTGGTATTTCAGATATGTAAGGTTGTTTAAAAAGCATATCAAATGTGAATGCATCACTGATGTTTCAATCTCAAACTTTGAGATATTTTATGGGAGATACACGTCTTTTATGGCTAGAAATAATCAGCTGATAGATTGAGTCAAGTGACATTTTTGAAGTGTTTTTGACGTAATCGTCTATTAATTAAAACTTTGGTGAATATTGTAGAAGGTTGATATTTCCAAGAGCTATATATCGAAATTTTATGAGGAAGATAAATTTTGGTCTCCTATCATAGAATTCGTCAGCAATAGATACTAAATTGATAATTAATTCGGTACGAAATATATATATTATAACGTGTTCGTTACAGACCCTGCAGCCAAAGTCCTACTTGACATATATAGGCCTGAAATCATCGCCTTCCAAAATAAGGTAGCTGGTCGTTCATTGGTTAGAATGGAGGGAGACAGACTGGTGTGCAGACGACAAGAGTGTAACATGGGAAACATGATTGCGGATGCCATGGTTTATCAAAATCTCCGACACGCCGACTCATTAGCGACGTCCAGGATCTTCATTGCGCTTGTTAATTCCGGTTCCATTCGCTCGTCCTTCGACCAAGGTAACAGATGAAATATTTGGGGTGAAAGTAGATAATAGTCGATGGACCTAGTATCATACATGTAATAATTATCATTTATTCTCATATTGATCTGAAATATAAGTGTTACCTACTTTTATCTGTCATAAAACACGCCAATCGTTATAACACAGGTAACATCACGTTTGCCAATATCATCGAAGTTCAACCATTCAGGAACACTTTGGAGACAATTCGCCTTCAGGGGCGCCATTTGCGCGCAGCTTTAGAGAACAGTGTGAGCCGCTGGAACACAGTTGATCCATCCGGTCGCTTCCTCCAGGTTTCAGGTAATAGTTTTTTCCACTGACTATGGTAAACCAGTCTCTATACAAAAGACACATAGATGGATAGCACCATTGACTACAAATTAAGAATTCAATACGGTAGAGACAAATAATGATATCTGCATCATATAGCTGTTTCCTCCTTCTAATAACACATGTCGAAATCTGAGAGCCTACGAGGTGGCCGCAGAGAATTCTAAGTGACAAAATGGTCAAAATCTTGATGAGGAGGTGCACTAGCCTAGTATTTCAAAATTTTGTTGTTGAAGTGTTGACTAGCCTGTTTTTAGTATAATGTTATCGGCAGAGGATTGCTGCTTATGGCATTCCAGTGTGACAGCGCTGTATATGTAGACACTGTTACCGTATGACGACTGTAAATACTATAGAGTGGACTTGCAACATCAGAAGGTTACAACAAAAAAAGGCCCACAAATTTCCCATATTTAATTTGTTAAATCGAATACCTATTGTCTTTGTAAAAGATATTTCTTACAATTACTCTTCGTTACTCAATCACACTGCACAAAATATCTAAATATCAATAGAAATAAGGATATTATGGAATCGTTCATAGCGCTCTATAATGAGACGCATGTCTTTATCTGTTTAGGTCTTCGAGTAACATATGACCTCAAGAAGGAAGTCGGAAGGCGGGTGGTGGATGTTCATGCCCTGTGTTCGGACTGTACAATACCAGAATACCTTCCGCTTGACGACACAAAAATGTACAGAATTATCTTATCTAACTTCATTGTACAAGGAGGGGACGGATATGACGTCATCAGGGACAACGCAGAACAGGAGCACATTTCTGGTAAGATCAAATGAAAAGAAAATGAAATGAAAAGATGGTGTCTTTAGCTTGTACGTGTGTCTGATGCAAATAACGATTCGATATAGCTTCATGACGTTGATGAATACATAAAAAATAAAATTGTACTTATAATTTTATTTCATTTCACTGAAACATGTATATCTGTTGTTACACCTATTTTAGCTAAATGTACAAGACACTTTTTCTAGAATCAAAGTGCAATATATTTTCAAATTTGAGCATCATTATCATAGATTCCTCATATCGATTTATCATTGTATCTCGAAATAAAGAAAACCAATCATATCAAAATAAAAATGTTAGAGGATTACTTTCCTACCATTCAAAATACAAAGCTAATATTAACATTTTTTTCTTATTCATGATAGGTGACCTTGATTCAGACGTAATGACGGAGTATATCCAGGAAATTTCGCCACTTTATCACGGACTAGAGGGGAGGATTAAGTTCATAAACGGAACTGAAATTGAGCAGTGTGTCGGGGCGGGAATTGCCACTCGTTCAGCAAGCTTGCTTACATTGATCACCGTAGTTATTTTGCAAAGCGTATTGACAAGATGATTTAGTTTTGATGTCTATGTATCTATGTATCACCAAATGTGTTAAAAGCCTGCTTCAAGTCAAGAACTATATTGATTTTTATGATGACGAAACTAAACAAAGATTATGAATTAAAAGCAGCAACGTTTTGTCGGGAAATTCCCCCCTCTGCTCTTAGCTTATTTGTTAGGAGGATTATATGTTTCTGTAGCTTAAGCATAGCCATTGCGCTGTTTCAGTATGCTGTACCTCTTGTTGATTGAAATTGGATTGGGCACAGAGAATAATAGGTGGCCTGACTAACTAGGAATATTTCTGTCTCTAACTGTAGTATATATTTGTTTGAACTGCTCAAAATCAGTATTTGTAAAATAATTCACAAGGATTACGTAGGCTCTAGAATTAATACACCCCCCCCCCCCCCCCCCAAAAAAAAAAAAAAAAATAAGAGTTGTCATTTGTTTATTTTATCTTTTATATGTATGCGAACGGTTCATCATTGCAAAACTGGCGAACTTTAGGAAACAAAACAGCTCATCTTACTTTTGTTGAAGTCCTTATTGTCATGGCTCGGTTTGTTCGTTGCGCTAGAGCTTAAAGGTCTAGGAACTGTTTTGATCTCAAGCATGGTCATAATTCTAATTCTACGTAAAATCTGTAATTAATGTAGTTTTAAAATCATTCATGTAGATCTTCATATTGATTTGGTTAGTTTTAACGGTATTTGATTTTCTGTGTCCAGTTAGTACTTGTTACAAGCAGATTTATCAAAGCTGTTTACGTCCTGATTGGGTTGTAATTTCCTGACGGGACTATAAATTACAGATGAAGCTCATCAGTTATACTAAGATATCTATGTACAGCATGTCAACACTACTATGATAGACAACCAAACTCACTTCACCCTCATAAATAATATTCTAATTTTGCATGAAAATCAATTCATCTGTTTTTGAAAATGAAATCTATTAGCTCTCAAACCATCAGCATTTCCAATTGAGATACTATTGTTTTCTGTGAATGATTTTTGTCTGTTATGTTTAAAAGCAATCAATTTATCTTTTTTTATTGTTATTCCCGGAAAAGATACAACGATATGACATACAATGTCTTCGCGCAGGAAGGCTTTCTTACTTCATTCATATCACTTACACCAGAATTACACATACTTTCTTATAATATTCACATGACACATTATTTTTAAATAATCAAATTTTTCATAGTATTCACATTACACATTATTTTTAAATAATCAATTTATAACCATTTTCAAGATATGAGAGACATTTTGAGTAACTTTTCTTTTATCGTGGTGTACATGTATGAACGAATGTGTCTTGGTTGTAAACTGAGAGGGAATCGGTGTCCATTGCTTTGTGTCTGAATAAACATTGTCACATGATACACAAATGAGTTCTTGGTAACACTGGGATACTTTGTGTCTATAAATCCTTTATTATGTACTGTATTATATTGTAAAACCAGAGAGGTATATTCTATTGTAATGTTTTATCTCGATTTCTAAAAGATGTTTATTCGTAAAACGTAATCGTTTCCTTGTTTATATATAACATTCATGACTTCTGTGGAACAATATCAAACTGAAACAAGTTTGTCAGCGTGCTGCTTATTAACATGAAACGCTATTAAAAGCTTTAGGAGGACGCGTTAGCTGTGTTGGCGAAAATGTAAGGCTACGTAACATTAGATGGTGTTTCAAAACTATTCTTTATTTACTTAATTGGAGAAGACCTGAAAATGGGTTCCATTTGATGAAAAAAGAAAACTGTCATGTCCTATTGACAATGACAGTCTGGAGTTGTTTCACATAAGAATAATACATCAAGCTATATATGAAAAGGTAAAAAGGTACAAATGTTCGTTTGACATATTAGATAACCGATTCTCATGAGAAACACTGATGACATCTGAGTGACAGTGTAAAGTGGTGCATGCTAAAATTACGCAACATGCACATCTGTGACGGACATGTGCAATATCTTGTTACTTAATTTTTAAAATCGGGGTATTCCAAGGGCTATTGTATGAAATTTGCCCTTGAAATCCTAAAAAGTTTAGGGCATGAATTGAAATGATATACACGGAATCCAAAAAACAGGTTTTTTAAAACTTTTGGTAACGATTTTGTGACAGATAGAGCAAACCGGTATACACTGTACATGATATTATGGAGAAATATATACCACATACTGTACACGAAAATAACGACGGCAACGACTCCAAACTAGAAAATAAAGAATATCATTGTGGTATATAGTTATTTGTTATTGATGCATTTAGAGTATATTCATCCGGATTTAATACCTGAAGTAAATAAAAGTTCAAGCAACATCTCGGAGTTGACGAAGAAAAACAGGGTTCTAGAGAGAGCAGGCTGATTATACTGAACACGCAGGCGCTTAAGATACCGGTTTTTATGAACACTTTTTAATGTGAATGTAGTTACATTGATAAAATGGAAAAATTAAAAGACAATTTGAGTATAGGTATTTTTATCGTAAACTATTGAACCAGAATTTTCCAAACAATTGATTTTGGTAACTGTATATCCATACTACTCGTCTATTGTGATCAAATAAGGGACAGTACTGTAACTTTACTGTCCTACAGGTAAGAGTTGAACCTCTTATCCTCCAATGTATAACCGTAGCTGGCGACTAACGTTGGAATCTTATTTCGTCTCTCTCAATTTTTTTTTTAAGAGTTGTCTATTTCCTAATTACTGCCTTGGCACCGACTCACTTCTTGATATATAGGTGTTTCTCCATTGTTGAAAGCTTTATGTTATCACTACAGCTTGCTGAAGCTGGGCGTTGTGATAGTGTAACGTCTGGTTTGCTAGTGTCAATATAATATGACTAGGTGGGATGTCCTGCCGAAAGCCTTCAGTAGGACTATTGATATTTAGGGTATAGGCACTATACGAACGTATCGCAGCCTCTCAAAAGCAACAAGAAAAATAACAAATGTTTACAAAATCATAAGCATTTTCGTCTGCACTAACCACACCTGCTTTGTAAACTTTGGTCAATCCAAGTAAGTAATGTCACGTTCTCAAATGAGAACAAGGTAAACAACAACGGAACAATCACGCCCAGCTCCGTATCGCTCGAAGAAATAGAATATTTCCCAATATGATCACTACGACGACTCCTAAAACATCCCCATAATTCTCATCAACCTGCATCTTTTGGAACCCTGTGTTACGCCTTTGTCCGTCAGTCGACGCCATCATCACGCAAGCAACACATACACTCACGGTGCATACATAGGGAGGCCGTCCTTAAATGACCATACATCTATAGGACTTTAAACAAAATGAAATCAAAGCTGAATCATTGCGACCTGAGTCGTATCCATGTTAGGTTACATGATATACATTTTATTAAGTAATAAATGGAAACACCGACAGTGTTCACATGTCTGCATTTGATTCGGTGACAGATATTTTTTTAGCTTACAACCCAGAATTTGGAGAGATGCAAAATTTTGAGTCTTATGATAAGCACCATGATCATAATCAGAAATACAGTCGAACCTCGTTATATCGAATTCGGCGAGACCATATGAAAACATCGAGATAACTAAGTATTCGATTTAAGTGAGTTCGGATGTTTTGTGTAAAGCTTGGCAAGGACTGGCGAAATGCTTGTAATTAAACGGGGTATTCGAGACCGCGATAACGAGGTTCGAATCTACTCTGCATTCTTGTGCAAAATGAAATTAAAAGCCATTTTGTGATGGTTGTTCCAATACCAGTTGGCTCCAATGTTTCTAACATCAATCTTGTTTGAGGAGTCGATATTACTTGCTTGGACTGACAGACTTTGGAAAACTACCAAGAGAAGAAGACAGGTTCAGGCTGGTCTGATTCATGGAAAGAAACCCGCCATGTTCGGTCAAAGAAGGTTATGCCATGTCCGTAAATAAGAGATATTCTCATTACATATTAGTAACGAGCAATGAACACAATATACTTTATATCTATAGGGTGCCGTTTTAGTATTTATCATTATCTTCACAACGTGATATCAATAATTCATCTAATGATATCACTAATTAGAATTATTGGTAATACATACAACGTAGATATCGGACAGAGAAATGCAATCAAGGCATTGTCTACTATATTATACTTCAGTGATTCGAATTATCAATGACACTAAATCGAATCAGAATTATTGATTCATTTAGTGATATTACATATTCGAATTATTGATATCAAAAAATAAATCATTGATATCAGTAATTCGTAATACTGATATCAAATAACGATAATCATTATCATTAATACGATTTAGGTATGACACTGATTCTAATAATTGTTTTAAATTTTATTTTATTTGGGCAGTGGCATTTCATTCAAAGCATGTTATACAAAAAGGATTCAGAAAGAAGTTATAAACTTATGTTAATCTGTCTCTTCAATAATTCGAATTAATGCTACGAATCATTCCAGACATTTAATTATATCATTATTTCGATTTAGTGATATAACTTATTCGATTTATTGATATCACATTTTGAAGCTAAGTACTATAACGGTGTCCCTTACGTATCGGACTTAATAAAATCAAATCAAAGCATTGTTTACAAGAATATACTCCACGAACTGTTGTGAAGTAAACGTATTTATGAACCTTGCAGTACGACTTGACCAGTGAGAAAAACTGCGTTTAAAAAAGGAGGAAAATAAAGATAAGAAAAGAATAATATTGTATTGTTATATTATTGTGTTATATTGAATCTGACATCTATTTCCATATGACACATGTATAATACACAAAAATATTACATGAGTATAATATGAACTATGCAGATATTCACCGATACAAGGGAGGGAACTCGTCAAAGCTGAGCTTTTAGATCTAAAAAGACCTGTTTGAGACATACGACTTCAATCAGGAGAATGGGTTGGTGTTTCTCTGTCAAGGCCAAAATTACTTCTCGATTTTTTAATCAGTTATAGATTTGGATCGACAGGTTCTGTACTGACTTCA